TGCAAACAGATTCCATTATTCATTGGAAGACCATATACCCAAATGTAAACATTATCACTTACACTGCACTACCACTACACGTGCAAGGCACGTGCACACACTAGTATATATTTAAAAGACAGAAGTTTGAGGCAACTGTTCACAAGCCGAATGGCCAGGCAAGCCACCGTTTTTGAGCCGAGCCGCAAAGGGTGGATATTTTGAAATTATTTTAAATGAAAGAACCCATTCTCGCCCAAATTTTCCCCCAAATCAAAACCCAACTTCATCTTCTCTCCATTTCCTTCCAAGATAATTACCTCCAAATAATAAGAAAAATAATAAGGTTTTTGGTTTTCGGTTTTCTTTGCCTGATTTCTCAGCATCTGGTTAGAAAAAATGGCTGTAATTCCAAGCTTCTTGACCAGCGGTCGAAAAAACGTTTTTGACCCATTTTCTCTCGACGTCTGGGACCCTTTTCAGGGCTTTCCCTTCTCGAGCACTTTAGCCAACGTTCCAAGCTCATCTCGCGAAACCGCAGCCCTCGCCAACACTCGCATAGACTGGAAAGAGACTCCGGAGGCTCACATCTTCAAGGTTGATCTTCCTAGCTGGGCTCAAGAAGGAGGAAGTAAAAGTGGAGGTAGAAGATGGTAGAATTCTGCAAATTAGCGGTGAGCGAAGCAAAGAACATGAGGAGAAAACCGACATATGGCACCGCGTTGAGAGAAGCAACGGTAAACTTCTGCGCCAGTTCAGGCTGCCGGAGAATGCAAAGATGGATCAAGTCAAGGCTAGCATTCATTAATTATAGTTTCTGGTTATGCATTTTTTGTCATATTGTGTATGTTAAAAGTAGTTTTTAAATGCATTTTCACTATGTAAATTACTTGAAAACTACTAAAAATCCCACTTGCCATGTAGATATATTATGGCCTGTTGGTTTAATTGGATTAATGGCGCCAAAATTAGATGAATAATAGTGATTTGATCTATTTCAGGGACAAGCTTGAGCTAATGGTTGATAATGACACAAGTAATTCCTTGATTCACAGTAGCAATATCCCTATACTTAAATTTTGTGATCGTTGACAGAACCGTGATGGGTTTTTATGGGAGAAGGAGCTGGAGTATTGCTTCTGGAAGAACTTAAACATGCAAAGGTAATCTAAAAGAACTATTAGTATAAGAATTTTATTTTCTTCTGTATTAAATTATTTCTTGGTGGCTACTAGGTTTGCATTTTC